TTGTCTCTTCCAGGGTTTTCTGCTTTTAACTACTCCTTCTTCCACGTGGGCTGGAAGATGGGGTGCTTTCTGATGAATATTAGACACATCTGGAAAGACATTCTTACTGGTTTTTGTCATTTAAAGAAAGAATTCATTCTAATTGTAATCAGCAAAGAAACAATAACACACACCCACCTTTTCTTGGGTGGGCAGTTTGAGGCAGCCTCATGTAGCCCAGGCTGGCCTCAAGTCTTCTGTGTAGCCCAAGATGACATTGAACTGCTGATCTACTTTTCAAGTACTGGGATTGAGACTAACCCCCTGCCCCCCATTGTTGGCAATTGAATCCAAAGTCTTGCTTGTGTTAGGCTAGTACTCTGCTATAGAGCTGTGTCTCCAGAAAAAAATAGGTCTTATTTAAAAAAAAAAGCTCACTTCAACCCACTTCTATCCATCTTCCTCTTCCCCAGTTACCATGGTGCCCATGGGTAGAGAGGGCTAGCACATGCAAAGCTTTTAGATTCGGTTGTCAACAATGAGGGTGGGCTGGGATGGTCTGAATAGCAGTGAAGGAGCCCCCACTTTGGGGTGAGGCACCCAGCTCTGAACTGAGCAGTGTATAATTTAGGGAAAAGAAAGCCCATGCCTATGGTGCCTCAGCAAGGCTGGCGTGGGGGTAGGGAGAAGTCACCCGTCCCACCCCACCTTGAGATGGGAGGTGGCTCAGCAGCTCAGCTGCATACAAATCCATGGAACCCATGTAAACGTGGAAGGAAATAGCTAACCCCAAAGGGTTGTCCCCTGACCTCCACACAGTCATAATAAAGGGTTAGAGGGTAAAAAAGGCTTAGTGAGTAAGTGTGCTGTTGCCAACCCTGCCAACCCGAGTTTGAGCCCTGGAACCCACATGGAAGGAGAGAACCCACGTCTGCCCGTTGTCATCTGACCTCCACACACACACACACACACACACACACACACACACACACACACACACACGCAAAACCACTACGTGTAAAATAACCCAATTTTAAAAACACGTGTAAATAAGGAAAAGAGGGCTGGAGAGTTTGGTTTCTACCTACTCTCATTCCTGTGGAAGAAAAAATGGGATCCTTCAAGTGAGACTGACCCTGGCATGATGGCTCAGTGGTTAAGATCTCTGGCTGCTCTTCCAGAGGACCTGGGTTTGATTCCCAGCACCCACATGGAAGCTCACAACTGTCTGTAACTCTAATTATAAGGGGTCTGACATCTTCTTCTGGCTCCTAGGGAATCAGGTATGAATGTAGTACATAGGCATATATACAGACAAAATACCCATACATAGAAAAATTAAAATAATTCTAAAAAGCACCAAAAAAAAAAAAAAGTACCCAGGGCAAGGACCTGCTATAGATAGAGGCACAAAGTGCAGCCAGGAGTGTGAAGTCTCAGGCTCCCTTGGGAGGAGGAGACAGGTGGATATCTGTGAATTTGAGGCCACCCTGGTCTACAGAGTGAGCTTCAGGACAACCAGAACTACACAGAGCCAGTTACCCCCATCCCACCCCAGAAAAAAAGTATGCCAAGAAGATCAGCTGCCTACAGTTCTGGGTGTGTGTGGTTTTATATTTGTAAAAAGTGCCCAAAATGGAGCCTGGAACAATAGTGTTCTACAATAGGGTTGACAAAGGGTAACTGAAACTATCAGTTCAGATTGCAGGGGTTTTGTTTTTGAGGGCTCCAGTGTGCAAGCTGGGGGAGAGTCAGACTCCGACGGTGGGATTGCAGGTGTGCACCAGCACAGTTTGAGGCAGCTGATAAGGTGGTGGTGGTGCATGGTGGGCTTTCCCATTTAGAGATGCTCAGGGGCCCGGTTCCCTGGTGGACCGATGCAGGTAACTGCCCCTGTAGGAAAAGTGGGTGCGATTGACTTTGGTCCCTTGTCAGCTTTCTTCATTCAACACCTTCTATGTGGAAACGCCAGCACATACCCAATTCCATGTGCCGATCTTGGTGTTCTCAGATCTCTGCATGGCTGAGCTGGGCAACTTGCAGAATCTTCCCGAAGCTGGAGAGCCCCTCCAACTTTCCTGTAATTATTTCTCAGCCCAGAGGATCTGGTTTTACTGAGAGATGATGAGCCTTAAGCAGCACCTGGAAATTCAGGTTGGGGCTCTCTGTCATACTGAAGATGCCACTTCTCCAAGTGGGAGGACGAGCCACTCTTAAGTGCCTCGAGCAGGTTAAATGTCTTGCACCAAGTTATTTACAAAGCCATTTTCTCTCCTTAGCCACCACCCGTGGCAAGTCCAGTCTTGTTCCTGTTGGTTTTGACTTGCCTAGGTTTATTCTGGCTGGGGAAAGGAGTCTGAGCAGCTCCTGCTCCCTGCTTATATGACCCCCACATATGACCCAGCCCCGCATTGATTGTACTGGGGGTTGGGAGAGCTTTTTAATAAGCATCTTTAAAGATTCCTAACTTGAACTTTAAAAGTGGCATCTGGGAACTAGGGAAATGCCTTAGTCCGTAGGTGCTTGCTGCATCCATGAAAGGTAGAGACATCAGATGGCGTCCTGCTGCTTGTTGGCCAGGCAGACTGGCTTGCTTGTTGAGTTCCAGTCCAATGGACAACATCTGAAGAACCACACAGAGGTTGACTAGACAGACAGACAGACAGACAGACAGACACACACACACACACACACACAGTTATTCCTCCCATAGTAAAGAATAGTTTAAGTTCACACAGATCTTTCTGGAACTATGTCAAAGAACCCCAAAGTAAAGTATGCATGTCAAAGAACCCCAAAGCATGTATGCCAAAGAGCAGTATTTTACCAGTGGGATTAATGGTGGTGCCTGTTAACACCATCAAAATTTCTCTGGCAAATGCAGGGCTTTAGGCTTCAGATATGTTTACAAGAGCGGCCCCTGGTGGATGAACATTGAAGGACAGGCATCTTCCCCAGGCCCAAAGTAGAGGAGAATGTGTAGGTGCCTCACTTTGTAAAATCCCGCACAGGAAGAAGAATTTTCATAAGAAAAGGCTAAGACAAAATGGGAATTCCTTTGCGAGGAGTTTGAAAAGGTGGAAAGTAAGCTAATTTGTGAGTTTTATTGTGAACTGCCCTTTTCAACCTATTAGGTTTCTTAGTTTACACATGAGTGTCCGATGGTGTGTGCCTGTGGAGGTCTGAAGACAGCTCACAGAGGTCAGTCTCTTGTCATGTGACTGAGTTCTTTCACTCAGGGATGGGCGTTAGCAATTGATCTCAGGTTGTCAGGCTCGCCTGCAAGCACCCTTACCTGTTGAGTCATCTCAGTGACCCCTCTTTGTGGTTTTTTTGGGGCAGGGTTTCATGCAGCTTTGAATTTGCTGTGCAGCCAAGAATGACTTGAAGCATCTGATGCACCTGTCTCCACCCCTGAAGTGCTAGAACTGTAGGCATGAACTATACTTTTTATTTGGTTTTATTTTTTGAGAAACAGGCTGACTGTGTAGTTCAGGCTGTTGTAGGACTCACTATGTAGCTCACTTGGCCTCAAACTCATTGCGGTCCTCCTGCCTCGGCTTTCCGAGTGCTGGGATCACAGGCGTGGACCGCTGTGCCTGGCTTCATTCGCTTTCTCTTTGAAAGGTTATTTATTAAGAGGTTGGGTGTCTTACTGTGCTGCCTAGGCTTGTCCCGAATTTCTGGGTCTGAACTTCAGCATTCCTCCTGCGTCAGTCCCCCAAGAAGCCAGGACAATGAGTTTGCACCACTGTCCTGGACTTGGAGGTCTTTAGCCACATTAGTGTCAAAACTGACTCCTTCAGGACCCCTCAGATTCCTCAGTAAAGCCTTGTAATGTAAGTTCCTTTCCAAAATTCCTCTCCCTCTTGTGTCACACTTTAAAATTAATTATTTATTTATTTATATCTGACTCTACCCTTTAAATTATTTAAAAATGGCCAGAATGGTATATGCCTGTAATTCCAGCACTCAGGAGGTCAAGCCAAGAGGATGGTGAGTTGAAGTCAGCCTGGGATATACATAGTGAGTCCCTGTCTTCAATAAACAAAAACAAAATAATTGTCCAGAGATCTTTCTGTGTCCTCTGGGATTCTTTAGGTGTCCCTATCCAATCTCTGTTGTTGTATTTTCTGTCTTCCTATTTTTTGGTGGGGGGAGAGGGGTCAGGATTTCACTGTATAACCCTGAATGCCCTGGAACTCACTCTGTAGACCAGGCTAGCCTTGAACCCACAGAGATCTACCTTCCTCTGCCTCCCAAGTGTTGAGATTAAAGGTGTGTGCCACCACTGTCTGACTTCTATTTTCTTTTTAAGATTTACTTATTTTTATTTTGTGTGTGTGTGTGTGTTTTGTATGCATGCAAGTATAACATGTTCATGTAGTGCCTGCAGAGGCCAGAAGAGGACATCAGATCTGCTGGAACTGGAGTTACTGACAGTTGGGAGCCAGTATAATGGTTCTAGAATTGAACCTGGATCTTCTGGAAAACATTGAGGCAGGATCTGCAGACTTGGCTGTCAGCTGTAGATTAACTAGGGCATGAGCTTTAGGGTGATTCTCCCATCTTGATACAGGAGTCCTGGGCTTACAGATGCATATCACCATATCCTGCTTTTTACATGTGTTCTGGGGGTCTGAACTCTGGTGGTCATCAGGCTGAGCTGCAAGCACTTTGATCAGATGAGACATTCCCAGCCTCGTGGTCTGTTTTCATATTGTGCTGCCTCTCTTTTGCTTTCACTAAAATGAAAATTTACTTTATGGACAAGATACTATTTTCACTGACAACTAGATGACCCCAAAGCTCAGTTGCACTGTATTTGTGAAGTCATTAATGATGGTGATAATGAGCCCCCCTGAGTACGGCCATCCATTATCAATCAACCTGTGCTTTATTGAGCTGGTACATGTTCTGTATGATTTGGTAGGTGGATGAAGTTCACTTTCTGGAGAAGGAATGTCCTAATCTGTGACTGAGCTTCCAATATTCTAATTGCTGTGATCTCTGTCTTGCAGTGAGATTTGAAGGGTGCACTGGTCGGCCAAGGACGGCCCACTTTTCTGAGGACTCCCGATTCAAAGTGGCTACAGACGGTGCCATCACAGTCAGCCGGCCTCTAAAGCTTCATAAACTGCAGACCAGTTTCCTTGTCCACGCCTGGGACTCTACTCACAGGAAGTTTTCCACCAAAGTGATACTGAATTCTGTGGGGCACCACCAACACCGGCACCACCACCGTGTAGGTTGGGGTATGGATCTTGTTGGGCAAGATGGTTTTGTGGGAAGACCCTGTGGCATGCTAAGTGGCATCCTTGATGCCAGGGACACCTGTCAGTTATAGCAGCCAAAACTACCTCTAGAAACTGCTTGTGATTCTTAGGGTGGGGGTGGCAAAAATATTCCCAGTTGGGGCTGGAGAGCTAGCTCAGCAGTTAAGATCACTGACTGCTCTTGCAGAGGACCTGGATTCAATTCCCAGCACCCACATGGCAGCTTACAACTGTCTATAACTCCAGTAGCAGGGGATCTGATACCTTCACACCAGTGCACATAAAACAAAGTTAAATAAGTTATTAAAAATGCATATCCCCAGTTGAGGACAGTCTTTCTGACTGAACTCAATCTTACTGGGTATGGGGGTTGCTGTTGGGTCATGGGGATCTGGTAGTGTAGGAGAAGAAGGAAGACAGCCCTGCCTGGGATTGTTAGCCCACCTTTGCTCTCTAACCTCTGATCCCAGTCACCACAGAGGAGCCATTTAACCTGTGTAGACTGAGTGAGTTCACAGACACAAAACACTAAGAACATACACACACACTTGATATCCGCAAGGAGCCCACTCTTCCTTTGTGAGTATCAAATCTAGATGCACAAGTCCCTTACGTAAAGGAGTGTAGATATCACACACAGCCGGAATACCCTCTGGTTAGTTCACCTCTACATAAGATAATGCCTGACCCAGGCTCATGTGACAGCTGTTGGTACACTCTTATTTAGAGGTAACAGTGAGGGGGGAATAATAACTGCATATGTTCAGCACTGACAATTTTTTTTAAATACTTTTTTTTTTGTGTTTTTGTTTTTGAGGCAGGGTTTTGCTTTAAAATAGCCCAGGCTGTCTTCAAACTCATTTTCCTCCTGCCTCAGTCTCTTGAGATCTGGGATTACAGGTGTGTACAACATGTTTGATATGAGTTTCTTCCCTTTGTTTTTTTTTAGACAGGGTCCCCTATAGCCTGTGATAGCCTAACGCTCACTGTATAGTAGATGACTTCTAACCTTTTATCTTCCACCATGATAGGATTACAGACTTGTGACATCACACCTGATTATAGGCATGTACCACCATATCTGGCTTTGAAAAAAAAATCATTTCTGTCTTTACTTGGTTGACCACAGGTGTGAACCTGAGCTATGGAGGGAGGGTTGAGGGAGTTAGAGTCTCATCAAATACTAGCTGTTGACATTGCCTTCCTGGAGGCAGAATGAATAAGGTGAGGTGCTGGGTGTCTTACTTAGCAAGGAGGGGAAGACCAGTAGAAAATCTTTGTCTCTCTGTAGAGCTGGAGAGGCAGCTCAGCAGGTAAGGATGTTTGCTGCTCTTGCTGAGGACATGGGTTTGGTTCCCAGCACCCACATCAGAACAGACAGTAACTCTCTAACTGCAGGAGATACCAGTCCCTGCTCTGGCCTCCAAGGGTGCCTGTGCACATGATGCACATATATTCATGCAAACACACACACAAATAGTAAACAAAGTGCTTTAAGCCTTGTCTCCACTGTCACTTGTATCAGTCAGATCTTTCTCCATGGTGTTTGCAGTGGAGGTCTGGCTCAGTCCAGAAAGCCAACAAACATCGAAGAGGCTGATACATGGACCGACTATGTGTTGTCTAGATTCTGGTCATGAATGTCCCTGGGGGTTGTTACCAGAAGCCAAGTGCCTTTGCCCATCTTGAAAACGCTCTCTTGGTGTTTCCTGGGTGTCTCTCCAGGGGTCATTCTAGCCATATCCTGCTTCCTGCCTCAGAGGTGTGGATTGTGCTGTATCCATTGAGTGCCAAAGCCTCTAAGGTTGATTCCTGTTCTGTTCTCTGAGGACTCTTGAGATTCGTGGGATTTAATAGCCCCTGATCTAGTTTTTCTCTATGATGCAATTAGAGAAGTAAAGAACTTAGTGCAATTACATTAGCCGTGGCTTCCTGACTCAAGCCCCCAGTTGGCCAGTCATGCATGCAAGTTCAGCACAGTAAGTCCCGTCAGGCAGTTGGCTGTGGGAGCCTTCTAAAGCCAAGAGCAGTTTGGGGCTTGTTTTTCCTCCAGTACCCCACCCCCTACCCCCACACCTTTGCCTCTGCTGACTTTACTGTCTCCATCCATTTCTGCTTAGTCAGGATTTGATATAAGTATGCATTATAGAAATCCCCAAGCTGGATGTGGTGGTGCAGGCCTTTGTGGGTTTCTTGGTTTTGTTTGTTTTTGTTTTTGCTTTTTGTTTTTTTTTTTGAGGCAGATTTTATCTGTGTGATGGCCCTGACTGTTCTAGAACTGGCCTGGAATTCACAAAGATCCATCTGCTTCTGTCTCCTGAATGCTGGTATTGATGGCGTGTGCCACCACCTGGCATCTACTTATCTTACTGTTTGGTATCCTTAGCACATGATGTCCCACTCCAAAACTGTGTAGCCTAAACTGGACTCAAGCTTGGGACCCTCCTGCCCTGCCTCAGCCTCACGGTGCTGAGATTACAAGGGTGCACCACATGCAGTAAGCACGTGGCTTTGTTTAATGTTGATACTATTTTATAGACAGGGTCTCATTATGTAGCCAGAGTGGGCTTGAACTCCTGATCATCCTTTCAAGTGTTGGGATTATAGGTGTGCACCACTAAGTACCACATGTAACTTGATGCTTATGGTTACCTCATGATCCAAGTTGGCTGCTGCAATGCCAGTCATTCCATCTTTGTTGGGTGTGGGGGAGGTAGGGGACATGGAGGTGTGTGAGGCAGGGTCCCACCATTTAACTCTGGCTGGTTTGAAACTTGCTATGTAGCCCAGGCTAGCCTTGAATTAAGAACTGCTTGCCCCTGCCTCCCAGTTGCTGGAATTAAAGGAGTGTGTTCAACACAATGGCCAGCATCCCTTCTTAATTGTGATATGAAGGATAAAAAATAATGTTTTATATAGCTTATTTGCCTGTCTACCTTTTAAGAAAATTTATGGAATTGTCAAAACTACTCCTACTTATATTAGCCACATCTGACTATTAAGTGTAGCTTCTTAAACAAAAAAGGTGGTGTTAGTGTGCATGTGTGTAGAAGCCAGAGGTCAATGTTGATGTCATGAATCTTCCTCAATCACTCTTGTTTTTGTTTTTTTGGAGATAAGGTCATACTTTGAAGTCTTGGCTGGCCTAGAACTCACAGTTCTAGATTTGCTTGTCTCTGCCTCCCATGTTGGGATTAAAGGTGTGTACCACCACCACCCAATATCCATTGTAGTTTTTGAGGCTGGGTCTGTCACTAAATCTGGACCTTGCTGATCCGGCTAGACCAGCTGGTGACATCTCCCCGTCACCGTCTCCCCAGTGTTGGGCTTGCAGGTGTGCGCCGCTGTGCAGCATGACTTCATGGCAAAGCACTTCACTCACTGAGCCTCTTTCCAGCCCCCAGGAACTATCTATTTATTGCCGAGACTTGAATCCAGCCAGTTATATCCCCAGCTCCCAAATGTATCTTCTTAGTTTTATATATTTCTGGACATAAAAATATGTTAAAGGAAAAAGAAAACTAAAAAAAAAGATTTTTAATTCTTATTGTATGTGTATAGTTGTTTTACCTACATATATATTTGTGTACCACAAGTATTGCCTGGTACCTGTGGAGGCTGGAAAAGGGTATGAGATCCCTCGGAACTAAAGTTACAGATGGGTTTTAAGTTTCCACATGAGTTCTGGGAATTGAACCCATAGCCTCTGCAAGAACAGTGAGTGCTCTTAACTGTTGAGGCTCTTAAATGCTGCGCCATCTCCCCAGGACCTAAGTTTTGGATTTAATAAGAAAGGAAAAATCTGGGTGTAAGGGTAATTCCAACATTGGGAGGCAGGGGCAGAAGATTTGTATGACTTTAAGGCCAGCCAGAACTATATTGCAAGACTCTGTCTCAAAAACAAAGAACCAAACATGGTAGGTCATGATTTAATCCCAACATTTAGAAATCTAAGAGAGGTTTGTTTTGAGTTTGAGAGCAGCCTGAGTTATATAGTGAATTCTAGACCAGCCTGGGCTACAGAGTAAAGCTCTGTTTCAAAAAAGCAAAACTACCTGGCCATGGTGACACATGCCTTTAATCCAAGAACTCTGGAGGCAGAGGCAGGTGGATCTCTGGGAGTTCAAGGCCAGCCTGGTCTACATAGTGAGTTCCAGGACAGCCAAGGTGGTTACACAGAGAAACCCTGTATCAAAAAGGCCAAAAAAGGCAAACTAGTCAAGCTAAAAACAAAAACAAACAACAGCCCAGAATACAAAGAGAAAATGGAAGAACGTCTTGGAATGATTGCACAGACTTATAATTTCAGGCAGAGGCAGGAGAATTGTGAGTTCCAGGCAAACCTCGGCTATGCAAAATAAGACCTTGTATCACACACAAAACACATAAGTGAAGGCTTAGAAGGTATAGCACTTGCTTTGTAAGCTTGAGGACCTAAGTGTGAATTCCCAAAACCCACACTAAATTGGGCGAAGTAGTGTGGGTCTGTAGATCCAAGAAAGTGACACTCATGGGCTAGCTAGCCTGGTGTACACAGTGACAAAAAACAAAACAAAAAAAAAACCTGACATACAAGCACAGAATCTAACTTTCTAGTTCTTTCCCTTTGCCAGTTTGGGCTTTCTGAGTGAGTTTCATGTTCAAAGTGTTTAGGCATGATCCCTTTTGTCCTCACACACGCAAATGCATGTTGTTACTCAGCATTTATTACCCATCTCTGTGAATACGCTGCAGCTTGGCAAGGCAGGACTTTTATCTTCCTTTTCAATATGGCCAGTGTCTAGCTATTCACTGTGGCTCCATCAGATGGCCATTTGAAGGCTTAGGGTGTGCTGTTGACGGACAGTTTCTTAATCCTTCCTGCACTGGAGTTCAATTCCCCCCAAATATTACGTCAGTGTTTTCCAACCATGGTCATCTTCATTTACTGAGCACTTGCTGTGTTTCAGGTACTACTCTAGATACGTTATATGTAAACAAGTATCATTTAGTCCTTCCAAGGACTATAGGACATTGGTACCAATATCATAATCTCAATTTTAGCCAGACGTGGTGTCATAACACCTCTAGTACCAACACTTGGAGAGTAGAGACAGGTGGATTTCTATGAGTCAGAGGCCAGCCTGGTTTATATAGTAAGCTTCAGGGCAGCCAGGGCTATACTGTGAGGCAGGCCCTATCTCAACAAAACAAACCATATCCCCACTTTAGACATTGGAACAGTTCACCCAGAAGTTATGTGATCTCCTCTGGAGGCAGATGGGGAGCTATACTGAGAACTAAGGGCTAAGTGGCCAGCCCTTAGCCCACGGTGGCTTTCTTCTGTAGGTGACAGATGAAGGGATATGTCGGGTGTATGGGAATGGGTTCTAGAATCTCTGGTCACATTTTATGTTTTGAATCTTAGAAAGAAGAAAAAAAATCAAAACAGGAGGGCTGAATATATGAAAATGTAGCTCAGTTAGTGGAGTCCTTGCCTAGCGTGCATGAGGCCCTGGCTTCTCTTCCCCGCCACCACAGACAGCGTGGTGGCACATGTCTGTCATCCTGGGGTAGGTGGAGGAAGAAGGAGCTGAAGGTCAAAAATCATCCTTGGCTACACAGCTTGATGCCAGCCTGGGCTTCATGAGAATGTTTCTAAAAGGACAACCAAACAAACAAGCAAACAGGAAATAGGGCTGTAGTCTGTGTTGGTAAATGAGTATCTCCCCGTGAGTGGAAAGGATGGAATCTTCTAGAACTTTGTTACCTCAAATCATTCTAAAACATTTAAGCAATTCAGGAGGCATTTTCCTTTAGTCTTCAGCTCTCTTATTTCCCTGAGTGTGCATGAAATTATCTTTATTGCACATTGGAACTGTTCAATACCAATCTCCAGGTTATTTTTGTTTCCCATCCCAGCAGCTTCTGTTAGAACAAATAGAACCCTTATAGATACAACACAATAAGATTAACACATTTGTATTGATCTCAGAAGTAGTTCTTAGTAGCAGTTCCCCAAACTTAAACAAGTTTGGTAATTTAAACAAGATTGATAACTCCACTTAGAGAATTATACCCCTAGGAAAGCAAAAGAAGCCCAGAACCCCCAAATATCTAGTTACTAGATCCCTTCTGATATTATCGGAGTATAATGTCATTTAAAGGATATGTATTACATACGCTTGAAGTAACTTTTAAATGTAATTGTCAAATGTTCACACCCACAAATTGTGTATGCACAGTGGTTATCTGAATTCTGGTTATTAAGAATTTAAAGAGATCAGCCTGATGGTGATCACACATGCCTTTAATCCTAGCACTTGGGAGGCAGAGGCAGACAAATCTCTGAGTTCAAGGCCAGAGTAAGTTCCAGGATAGTTAGGGCTACACAGAAAATCCCTGCCTTGAAAGCTGAGAGAGAGAGAGAGAGAGAGAGAGAGAGAGAGAGAGAGAGAGAGAGAGAGAGAGAGAGAGAGAGAGAGAGAGAATGAATTTAAAGAAAATTAGTTATTTGTTATGTGGCTGTGTTAGTTGGCCTTCTGACACTATAACAAAATTCCTGAGACAACTGACTTAAAAAGAAAAGGTTTTACTTGGGTTTTCTTTCCGGAGGTTTAAGACCAAATGTCACTGTAATTTTGTCCTCTGGTAAGGGCAGCACATCAGAGTGAAAGCATATAGAATAAACCATTTGTCTTACAATACAAAAAGCGAAGCAGAGACTGGGGGCTCACAGTGTACTTCAAGGAACTATCTCCCATGTGGTCTGAAGACCTCTCAGTGGCCACTAAGTTATGGGCAGTCAGTATCCAAACAGTATCATTGTCAGGAGTTCTTTGGTTTATGTTTCGGTTCTTCATTTTGGATGGCACATGGAATTTGCTATTGAGAATGAGTCATTAAACTCAAACATGCACCACCTTTAGAAGATGGGAGACATCATTGGGATGGATTGAACTGTTAGACCTGTGTGTCTTCTGAATTACTTCATTTTGTTATTCTTCTTTCCTCTTAGGACCCTGTTTCTGGATCCCAGCCAGAAGTGCTCACATTTCCCAGCTCTCACCAAGGTCCCAGAAGACAGAAACGAGACTGGGTCATCCCCCCCATCAGCTGCCCAGAAAATGAGAAGGGCCCATTTCCCAAAAACCTGGTTCAGGTATGGAAGGACTGAGAGAAGAGAAAATGAAAGGATCCAATGTCAAGACCTTTCCTTGCAAATTCTGTTTCTTTTCTGTTTTGTGTTCAGATCAAATCCAACAGGGACAAAGAAACTCAGGTTTTCTATAGCATCACTGGCCAAGGAGCTGACAGACCTCCTGTTGGTGTGTTTATCATTGAGAGAGAATCAGGCTGGCTGAAAGTGACAGAACCTCTGGATAGAGAAAATATTGCAAAGTACACTGTGAGTATCTCTTAGATACTTGACCATTGGGTAACAATTGTCAAGTTTTGGAGGCAACCCGTATTATATCCCCGGGTCACATACATGCCCTGATTGTGTGAATAACTCAACTTACCCCTTGACATGTTGATAATGTGAAGCCAAGAGAATAATTTGGGATGGTTAGTTGCTTTGCTTCCTATAGGAGAAAAGCAGGGATTCCTCACATCATACATGAGCATAGATAGAAGTTGTCAAAGCGGGGCTGGAGAGATGAGATGGCTCAATGGTTAAGAGCATTTGCTGCTCGTATCTTTTTGGTTGTGAGCCTAGCCTTTAATGGCTGAGTCATCTCTCCAGCCCACATTTGTTGCTCTTGTAGAGAATCTTGACTTCAGTTCCCAGCACTGACATCAGGTGGCTTACAACCGCCTGAAACTCCAGCTTCCAGGGCTCTGACACCCTCTTAAGACCTCCTTGTTGTGCATGAAAGTGCTTATGAGTTCAAGACCAACCTGGTCTACAAGAGCTAGTTCCAGGACAGTCTCCAAAGCCACAGAGAAACCCTGCCTCAAAAAACCAAGCCAAACTAAAAGAAAGTGCATGTGAACACACATACACATGCACACTCGCATGCGCGCACACACAGAGACAGACAGACAGACAGGCATATAAATGAAAAGATGCCATCTTTTGGGACTGGAGAGAAGTTTCTTACCTAGCTGAAATGTATTCTGATGACAATAATGGGGGAGAATATCCACTTCTAGGACTTGGTTACAATGTGAGGAAGGTAATCTGTAGATGACAAATGTAGAAAAACCTCAGGGAAGCATTGTTGGACTGGAATGGCCAGAGGAAAATTACCCCAGTTGAGGTGAGTGTCTGTGTGATGAATAGGCATTGTGCCTGCTTAATGTGTTCTCTAGCCTTGGGACATGATTCATCCTGAGTTCATTAAGCAGCCACACACGGCGTAGAAAACTCTCACATGGAGGACTCACAGTGGAAGAAGAGGAGGCTAGATGAAGCCACTCTAGCCAGACTCCCTTGCCCAGCTCCTCTTCTGGTCGGGGGCTGAGTAACCCTCACTTGGCTCTTGCAGCTCTTTTCCCATGCTGTGTCATCTAATGGGGAAGCAGTGGAGGATCCCATGGAGATTGTGATCACAGTGACTGATCAGAATGACAACAGACCAGAGTTCATCAAGCAGGTCTTTCACGGAAATGTCATGGAGGGCGCTCTTCCAGGTAAACCAGTCCCCAGAGACACTTCAGTTCTTTGGGATTACAACTTTGGGTCTGGTCACTGAAGTTCAGACATATTCTTTGAAAGCCATTGTGAGAGATGAGATGTAGGGGACCAGACATAACATTGTACCCACAGAAACATTTGTAAGTAGAAACAATAAAAGAATAACATTCCTAGGGCTTGGTGGTGCATGCATGTGACTCCAGCTCCAGGGGATGTGACATCCTCTTCTGGCCTTTGAGGGCGCGCGCGCACACACACACACACACACACACACACACACACACACACACACACACACACACACGTATGTGCACACTAATAATAGCAACAACAATAATAAAATTTTAAAAATAAGATAAGTAGCAGGAGGAAAAGAGAAGGATTTGGCAGGGATGTTTTAGTTAATTTATTCCCAACACTCTCTTTCTTCATTACACCCAAGTTATAGGTCTGAAAGTTGAGTTCCCTGAACAGGGCTGGTTTGGTGTAGTGTTCCCTTCACTGGCAATTTGATGAGAATTTTAGAGTGTGGTGATCTCTTAGGACAGGATTGTTCTGAGCCGTCAGGAGCAGATCCGCATCCCATTTAAATCTCTTCACTTTTGACACTTCCAGGAACCTCTGTGATGCAGGTCTCAGCCACTGATGCAGATGACCATGTGAACACCTACAATGCTGCTATCGCCTATACCATCATCAGCCAAGATCCTGAGCTGCCTCACAAGAACATGTTCACTGTCAATAGAGACACAGGGGTCATCAGTGTGGTCACCTCTGGGCTGAACCGAGAGGTCAGTTAGGGCTCAGGACGATGGCATTGGGAGATGAAGGCAAATGTATGCTAAATCTCACAGACAGTGCAACCCTCTGCTGAGCCTATTGGTCAGTTAGTGTGAGTGGTTCAGCTTTGCATCTAAACACCTACCCAGAAGCTCTGTGCCTGGAGGCAGGCAGCCCGGGTAGTGAAGCAGACGATGAAATATTCTGCACCAGGCTTGGGATGGCTGTTGGAGCGGGTTCTGATTCTACATGTTTGATGTCTGCAGAGTTATCCTACGTATACCCTGGTGGTACAAGCTGCTGACCTTCAAGGTGAAGGCTTAAGCACAACAGCAACAGCTGTGATCACCATCGATGATATTAATGACAACGCTCCCATCTTCAACCCAAGCACGGTAATTCGGCAGCCTCTTAGTTCTGTAAGAGGTTTTTTATTGTTCACAAGCTAAGTTGTACCTCTATGCATGGGTGAATCCCCAGGTTAGTGAAACTTAGAAGCCAGCATACCAGAGTAGCTACCATCTTTGAAATCTTTCTTCCATCTTTCGCCTGGGGCCCATTGGCATAGGATTATGTTTGGCCGAAAGCTCCTGATGAATTCATGTCCTTGATTCTGCATAATCTTCCTGGGTCTCACTTATTCATCACAGTTTTAAGTTTATATTCCACTCTGTGTTACATACTGGAAACATGTCAACACAAAGCAGACATTTTCTAGTCTTGTGGAACTTACAATTTATAGGAATTATGTTATTATTATTATTTAATATTATTACAGATCTTATTGTGTGACCCAGCCTGGCCTCTAACTCAACAATATTCCTCCTAAACATTGGGTTACAGCTGCAAGCTGCCATCATGCCCAGCTTCATAAGAATTATTGAAGGCCAAAAATGTCGAATGCATTCAAGGAGCAGGTTTTAAGAGCCAAATGAAAAGAATTCTGCTTTCTCTCTCTCTCTCTCTCTCTCTCTCTCTCTCTCTCTCTCTCTCTCTCTCTCTCTCTCTCTCTCTCTCTCTCTCTCTCTCTCTCTCTCTCTCTCTCCCCCTCCCTCTCTCTCCCTCTCTGTCCCCCCTCCCTCTCCCTCCCTCCCTCCCTCCCTCCCTCCCTCCCTCTCTCTCTCTCTCTCTCTCTCTCTCTCTCTCTCTCTCTCTCTCTCTCTCTCTCTCTCTCTCACACACACTTTCAATTAATTAAAATTTTTGGGACACGAACAGGTTGGCAGGCAGGCATGTAACGCTGTGCTCAGCTTTTTAGTTTTGGAAGAAAAGATCATATTTTACTGAGTTGGTTAGAAGTTGGTTTAATGGTTTGTTAACAAAGGCCTGAATAGCATAGTTTCAGAAAGCAGAGTTTGACTTTTTCTCTTAAGTCACACAAGGCCTAGGGATAATTGCTCTTTCATTGTTTATCTTTTTTAATGGTTACTAATAGAAATTAGAGTGTAGATGGGGGCAAATGGCATGTGTGTCTTAAGATCATAGTCAGCAGACAAGGAAGCCATCAGATGGTTCTTGTAGCCAGGGCCTTGGAAAGCTATTTTCAGGTATTTGTAGAAGAGGGTGCTTGGGGCTGCTAGTTGGTCTACTGATGGGGAATGAGGGCCTACTCCTGGGATAGATAGTGTCATCCTTGGGGACTCATGTGCTTCTCTTGACTTCACTCATCCCACCTACTTTAGCCCAAATACTGGCTCCATGCTTATTGTCATCTTGTCACTAATGACCTACTTTTCCCTTTGCTCTGTAGTACCTGGGTCAAGTGTCTGAGAATGAGGCCAACGCCTATATCACCACACTCAAAGTAACTGACGATGATGCCCCCAATACTCCAGCGTGGGAGGCCGTGTACACCATAGTCAATGATCCTGAACAACAATTTGTTGTCATCACAGACCCCACAACCAATGATGGCATCCTGAAAACAGCCAAGGTTTGTATGGTGGTTGCTGACAGACACGCTAATTGCTGGGCCTCTCGTCCCAAAATGTCTTCTCAACTGGCAGGGGAGGGGTAGAGTCTGGGGATGGTACTGACCTTCTGGAGCTTGCAGAAACTGTCTTGGCTGTTTGCTGGCCTGTTAGAAGTGAAGTAAGTGTGGCTCTTTTGAAAAATATCCTAAAGCCTGAGGCTAGACAGTGATTCTCACCCTGTGGGTCATGACCTTTGAGGGCTGAACAACCCTTTCACAGGGGTCATCTAAGACCATCAGAAAACGTAGATATTTACATTATGACTCATGTAACAAACAGTCACAAAATTATAGTTGTAAAGTAGCAACAAAAATAATGTTATGGTTGGGGGTCACCACCACATGAGGAGCTGAATTAAAGGATCACAGCATTAGGAAGGTTGAGAACCAGTGGGTTAGAAAGACTATGGCTCAGTCATTAAGAGCACTTGTTGCTCTGCAGAGGATCTAGATTTGGTACCCAGCACTTACAACTGCCTATAAATCTTTGGAAAACGTCTAAATTAAAAGTAGGGATGACTTACTGGTTGGATTTAGCAAAAATTAATAGATACCTAGAGTACCTTAGAGCTTTAATGTCCTCTTCAGCAAGTGAAACAGCCATGTTTGTGTACTATCAACAAAAGTGGTAGCTGAAATTTAACTTTTGTTCTGTTTTTGGAGACAGGGTTTCATTGTGTTGCCCTGACTGTCCTGGAACTCACTCTGTAGACCAGGCTGGCCTCAAACTCACAGATCCACCTGCCTCTGCCTCTGCTTCCTGAGTACTGAGATTTAAAAATTTTTTTATTTTGCTAACCATTTTTTAAAGCATATTTATTTGTTGTGTGACAATGGTGGTTGAACTCAGGGCCTTGAGCATACTGGGCAAGTGCTTTACCACCGAGTCATACACCCAACCCCTGGTATTTTAGTTTTAACTTGTTTTTTCTTTCCCTCCTGTTGTTTAGGGCTTGGATTTTGAGGCCAAGCAGCAGTACATTCTGCATGTGACAGTGGCGAATGTGGCCCCTTTTGAGGGGTCCCTTGTCCCTTCCACAGCCACTGTCACTGTAGATGTGCTAGACGTCAATGAAGCCCCCATCTTTGTGCCTGCCGAGAAGAGAGTAGAAGTGCCTGAAGACTTTGGTGTGGGTCAGGAAATCACATCTTATACTGCCCGAGAGCCAGATATATTCATGCAGCAGAAGATCACGTGAGTAGGACAATGAACAGTGTTGAGTGGGTATTGGTATGTATTTACACTTTGTTTTGTTTTTGGTTTTCAAGACAGGGTTTGACTGTGACGTCCTAGCTGTTCTGGCACTCACTCTGTAGATCAAGCTGGTCTTAAGCTCACAGAGATCCTCATGCCTCTGCCTACCAAGTGCTGGGATTAAAGGTGTGAGCCACCATTGCCCTGATAGTTTGTTGTTGTTTGTACATATAATTTAAGTAAATACAAATGCAGTCATTTGTCATGTAACAATAATACATTCTGAGAAATATACCCATAAGTTTAATCACTTTGGGAACATTGCATAGTTTGTCAAACTAATTAAGATGGCTTCAGTTTCACTGAAAAATTACCTTTATGTACTCAGCCATGGGTGTCAGTTATTTCCTTCTGCCACATAGGTCCCAGGTATCAAGCTCAAACTGTCAGGCTTGGTAACAAGAGTACCTTTACCCCCCTGTCCCACTCATACCCCGGACCAATTTTTTTTTTACTAAAGAACTGTAGTTCAGTTCTCAGCACCCACATGGAGGCTCACAACCATCTGTAACTGTAGTTCCTGGAGATCTAACATCTCTTTTGCCTCTTGCCCATGTGGTACACTCATATATACATAAACAAATACATAAACAAAGCCTGGCGTTGGTGGTACATGCCTTTAATCCCAGCACACTGTGAGTGCGAGGCCAGCCTAGTCTACAGAGCGAGTTCCAGGACAGCCTCCAAAACAATACAGAGAAAACCTGTCTCAAAAAACAAACAAACAAACAAACAATATATAAAGAGAACCCATGACCTCAGTTCCATCCTGTTTGCTGCCCCTATTCTAAGCCAGAGCTTGTGTCCTCAGGTATCGGATTTGGAGGGACACTGCCAACTGGCTGGAGATTAACCCAGAGACTGGCACCATTTCCACTCGGGCTGAGATGGACAGAGAAGACACCGAGCACGTGAAGAACAACACATATACAGCTCTCATCATCGCCACAGACGATGGTACAGACCCTGTGTGACTCAGTCCACATCACTGGGCTCCATTACTCTCTAGCCTCCTTTGCCTCTCCTGCCTCTCCTGCCTCTCCTGCCTCTCCTGCCTTCCTGCCTTCCTGCCTTCCTGCCTTCCTGCCTTCCTGCCTTCCTGCCTGCCTTCCTGCCTTCCTGCCTGCCTTCCTGCCTGCCTTCCTTTTTTTCTACCTCCCCAGTGCTGGGATTAAAGGTGTGCACCACCACTGCCCCTGACTAGTTTTGAACTCACTTTGAATTCACATTGAACTCACATGTAGCCAGAAGTTCTCAAATTTGAGGTGATCCTCCCCTGCCTGTAAATTCTAAGATTCCAAGCAAGTGCTGGAGGGTAGTGCCACACACATTTAATTCCAGCACTTGGAAGGCAGAGTTCCAGGACAGCCTGGTCTACAGAATGAGTTCCAAGATGGCCAAGGCTACATAGAGAAACTGTCTTTAAAAAAAAAAATGCCGGGCGGTGGTGGCACACGCCTTTAATCCCAGCACTCTGGAGGCAGAGGCAGGCAGATCTCTGTGAGTTCGAGCCTCAAACAATACAGAGAAACCCTGTCTCGTAAATACCAAAAAAAAAAAAAAAAAATCCAAGCAAGCACTACCACCACACCACACTCAGCTTTTCTTTTTTAAATGATCAGCTGTATCCAGACTTTTGTAAGAGACTGAGACAGGAGGATTGTAATTCTAAATACTACACAGTGAGACCTTGTCTCAAAAACAAACAACAACAAAAACAATAAGCCCCAAAACTTAAATAGATGAAAATATTATTATATCAGGAAAAAGAAAGCTGCCTTTGATATGAAGAATAACCCGATCCTTGTGCGCAAAAGAGGCAATGAGCTTGCCAGAAAGGGGAGGCAAGTGGTAGGATGGAGGCTGTGTGGCAGTGTGGAACCTTCTGAGGGTCACAGACAAGCTGACACAAAATTCGCACTGCTGGTGATAATACCCCTGATCTGTGACAGCCTCTCTGTTTTCTCCTAGGTTCGCCAATTGCCACTGGCACGGGGACTCTTCTCTTGGTGCTATCTGATGTCAATGACAATGCTCCCATCCCAGAACCTCGAAGCATGCAATTCTGCCAGAGGAACCCACAGCCCCATGTCATCAACATCCTGGATCCAGATCTTCCTCCCAATACATCCCCCTTCACTGCGGAACTAACCCACGGGGCCAGTGTCAACTGGACCATTGAGTACAACGACCCAGGTGTGAAGTCCAGCTCCATTTCTAGAGCAGCTCGGCCTGCCTCGCTTCTGCCTTCCCACCTCAGGACTCCCCCTCTTCTCCTTCCCCTTGAGATGTGATGCCAGTGCCTTCTACATTTCCTGCATGCCCCTTTCCTCTGAAACGTACTGCACAGAAACACGAACCCCAAGCAGTTCCTTCCCCCAGCTCTGTATGTCTTTGGTTCCCTAAACATTTGCATTTTACTGAGCTTTTTGTTCTGTACCCTCCGCTGGTCTTACTATTTCTTTGTTTTCCTTTCCCCAGCCCAAGAATCTCTCATTTTGAAGCCAAAAAAGACCTTAGAGTTGGGCGACTACAAAATCAATCTCAAGCTCATGGATAACCAGAACAAAGACCAGGTGACCACACTGGACATCATTGTGTGTGACTGTGAAGGGGCTGTCAACAACTGCATGAGGTCGGGTTACGTGGAAGCAGGGTTGCAAGTTCCTGCCATCCTAGGGATTCTTGGAGGGATCCTCGCTTTGCTGAGTAAGTACAGCTGGCAAGTGCCTCAGCCTGGAACCTCTAAGATTGGGAAGGGTTGTTGTTTCCTAGGAAGAGCTTCCTGTTAGGTACCGATGAAACTGGCAATGTGGTGAAGTGGGAGCCAGCTTCATTCTGTTCTGGGTTTTTTGTTTGTTTTGTTTGTGCTTCCCAAGACTGAGCACACGCAAATCACCTGTGCCCCTCAGTAACATGTGAATTCAGACCCGGGGTGCCTGGTGAAGATTCTCAGAGGCTGCATTTTGTTCAGTTTCCAAGTGATGATGAGGTTGCAGGACCACATGTGTGGCAGAGACAACATGGTACAGTCACTGTTCTCATCAGCACAGTCAAGGCCGACAGCTGCCGTCACCCTCTCCCCAATCTCATCTTGGAGGACAGAAAAGAAAGCTGAGGCTCCCTAAATGCAGGTTGTCAACGGCACTACCACTCACATCCCATTGGCTCAAGTTCAGCCATCGCAAATTGCTAGGCAGCTTAGGAGCCCCTGCTTTTCACTAGGAGTCCACTGAATGCTTGGGAGACAGTGGAGACCATGGATAGGATGAGCAATGAGCATCCATGGCTGAAAAGATGGAGAATGGAGATGCTAGAGGAAGCTACGCATTTCTGTCCGTAGTTCAATTGATTTTGATCTGTTTTTACCTGTAGAGTGTCCTGGGCTTGGTGCCAATGCCCTGAGAGTTCCTATGATCAATGTTTTTTCTCCCCGCCTAGTAGATACAGTTTATTAGAATGGCTAAAGTTGGGAAGATTCTCCTATCAGGCATTTAAAGAAGAAGTTTTGCTAGGAGCGAGATGTCCAGCCTGCTTTTTGGTTTTTCGAGACAGGGTTTCTCTGTAGCTTTGGAGGCTGTCCTGGAACTCGCTTGGTAATCCAGGCTGGTCTCGAACTCACAGAGATCCAGATCCGCCTGCCTCTGCCTCCCTAGTGCCAGCCTGTTTTTTGTGTTGTATTTTGAGAAGGGGTTTCATTTGTAGTTCAGGCTGGCCTGGAACTTACTATGTAGCCCAGGGTGGACTCGGGGTAATTGCCGTCTGCCACTTGCCTGGAGTTGCAAGGCTGTGGTGACATGAGAGTTGCCTCCTCTGGTCTTCCCATGACTCACCACTCTCCTCACCCTCCTCACCTGTCTCCAGTTCTGATCCTGCTGCTCCTACTGTTTTTACGGAGGAGAACCGTGGTCAAAGAGCCCCTGCTGCCCCCGGACGATGACACCCGCGACAATGTATATTACTATGACGAAGAAGGCGGTGGAGAAGAGGACCAGGTGGGGTTTAAAGATGCAAAACTTTTAAGTCTGATTGTGGGGGAGGGGTACTGCTGATTCAGAGAGTCATCCCCACAGTACTGCTATGGAGCACAGAACCCTGTGATGTCGCTGGTACACAAGAAGTTGGGTGTCTTCCCCCAGACACTCTTGTGTTCTCTGGAGCGTTTGTTGACTACATTGAAGCTTACAACATCTATAAATCAGTGAGAATTCAGCTAATCCAGGCAGAGTTTTGCTGAAAGGCCCTAAGCTTACCCCTGTGTTCAGGTCTGTTGCCTGGAGCCTAATTTTTTTTCAGTAGCCATGCGTCACTTGCTATCTTATTACCTGAAGGCCCTCATCTGTCAGAGTATTATTAACAGGCCAGGCACTACTTGCATCAGCTATGGTGGGGGAGGACTGAGTAAAATATGCCAAGTAATAAGCCTGTGAAATGAATAAGACACAACAGCTTGCATTCTTAGAATCCCCAAGTGCTCTCTTTTCTTCAGTGTGAGTTAATTTGGAAGCCATTTCATATGCTTTTGGGCACATGTTGGCCAATACCACATGGAGGGCAGTTTTAGCTTTGTCCAGTGGCACAGTGTGTGATTCCATGCAGCAGACAAGCCCACCTATGCAACTGCTTCTTTTTCACTTGTTGGCATGTTTCTGCTCTTCTGTCTAGGATTTTGATTTGAGCCAATTGCACAGGGGCCTGGATGCCCGACCTGAAGTGACTCGAAATGATGTGGCTCCCACCCTCCTGAGTATGCCCCAGTATCGTCCCCGCCCAGCCAATCCTGATGAAATTGGGAACTTCATCGATGAAGTAAGTAGGCAAACTTCCAGCCAGGGCATGGTGCATCTCTTTTTTTCTTTCTTTCTTTTTTTTTTTTTTTTTTTTTTTTTTGTTTTTGTTTTTGTTTTTCGAGACAGGGTTTCTCTGAGGCTTTGGAAGCTGGTAGCATTCCTGGAACTAGCTCTTGTACACCAGGCTGGTCTGAAACTCACAGAGAGCTACCTGCCTCTGACTCCCAAGTGCTGGGATTAAAGGCATGTATCACTACCGCCCGTCCATGTGCCACCACCTCCTGGCCCACAATGCATCTCTTAACTTGGGAACCAAGGAGATAAACATTCCAATGAGGAGAACCTTCAAATTCTTGTGTTTGTCCAGATCCTTGAGACAAAACCAATATCTACTTGCAAAGCTTTAGCAGACTTAGTTTGATTTTATTAATGGGTTCCCTGCATTCATTACAGCTGCTTGGGATAGCATCCTGGGGAGCCTGGGGCAATAGCTCAATGGGTTGGTAGAGCATCTTTTGAGCAAGGCTGAGGACCAGAGTTTGGATGTGAAGCACCAACATAAGTGCTAAGTGGGCATGGCAGCCTCCTTTTGTTCTAGTGTCCAGGTTAGATGGTCCGGAATCAGCAAGCTGCAGGTTCAATTGAGAGACCTCGTCTCAGTGAATACAGTGAAGAAAAGGTGAAGACCCCCAATGTCAACGTCCCGATGAAGACCTTGGGCCTTCACATGCACATGTGCACACACATGTAAACACAAACATATGGCATGCACAAATGTACTCCAGTTTACCTAAGGCCCACGAAAATAGCATCCACCATGTAACATACCCACATGCTATTGTACGTGTAGGAAGTATGTTCAGCTCTAATCAAAAAGCTTAAGCAGACAGTAGGGGATGCACTTGGTGCCTGTGGAAATCTGGGCTCAGCAGTCTTCTCTGTAAATAGAGCCTTCCTGCTCTATTGTCTTGGTGTCTTAGTTACTTTTCTATTGCTGTGCTGAGACACTATGACAAAGGCAACTTGCAGAACAAAGAGTCTAATGCAGAGCTCCAGAGGTTAGAGTCCATGACTATCATGGCAGGGAGCACGGCAGCAGGCGTGCGTGACTGGAGCGGTGGCTGAGGGCTCACATTTCGATGCACAAGCTGGAGGAGAAAGAGAGACAGAGACAAAGTGAGCTAAAAATTGGAAATGACTGGTCTTTTAAAACCCCAAATCCTGTTCTCAGTGACACCTCCTCGGTCATACCTCCTAATCCTTCCAAACGATTCCACCGGGGGACCAAGTATTCAAAGACTATGTAACCCTGCTGGCTTTGGACTCCCTGCATAGACCAGGCTGGGATTATCTATCTATCTATCTATCTATCTATTTATCTATCTATCTATCTATCTATCTATCTATCTATCTATCTATCTATCTATTTTTTGAGGCAAGGTTTCTCTGTGTAACCCTGGCTATCCTGAAACTCTCTCTGTAGACCAGGGTGGCCTCTAACTCACAGAGATCCTCCTCTGCTTCCTGAGTGCTGGGATTAAAGGCATGCTCCACCATGCCCAGCACAAGGCACTTCTTAAAAGGGAAAACGTTTAATTGGGATTCGTTTAGAGTTCAGAGATTTAGCCCATTATCATCATGGCAGGTGGCACACAGACAGACAAGGTGCCGGAGAAGGAGCCAAGGTCTACATCTTAATCCAAAGGTGGCAGAAATAGCCTGTGTCCCAAGTTGGGCATAGTATCCCCCACAGTGACACACTTCCTCCAACAAGGCCACACACCTGCTAATAGTTCACTCCCTGTAGGCCTATGGGGGCAATTTTCATTCAAACCACCACACAGAGGATGACTTTAAATTCCTGATCCTTCAATTTGCCTCTCAGAGTTAACATTTAACAATGATAGTTTGGCATCCACCCTTAGAGGACCTTCTTGGACTGACCTGTTATCTCTATAGACCCTTCTGAGCACTCTCATTGTTATTAGCCTCTGTCTATCTTCACTGGTGATATGAGGTCCTTACTCTGGTTTCTGGGGACCCCATCCTGACAGGCAGCTAGTTGTCCATCTCTCCCTGCTGACGTCATATAACTTATCAACCCTATGCAGGGAAAGCATCCTGTGGCTTGTTCTTCTGTCTTGATGTGTGTGCCTAACTGCTCGTGGGTTGCCTTTTCATGTTCTGGATGATGCTTACCTCAGTTACAAATATTGTGCTCTTCCCTTTAGAATCTGAAGGCAGCCGACAGCGACCCCACGGCACCTCCTTACGACTCTCTGTTGGTGTTTGACTATGAGGGGAGTGGTTCCGAAGCTGCTAGCCTGAGTTCACTGAACTCCTCCGAGTCGGATCAGGACCAGGACTATGACTACCTGCAGGAGTGGGGCAACCGCTTCAAGAAGCTGGCTGACATGTATGGTGGCGGCGAGGACGACTAAGGACTAGAGAGGAGCCCCTGGGTGGAGCCATGGGAGATGCAGAGCAATGTTGCAGGGGCCTTTCAGCTTCTTCCCTGAGTTTCTGAGAGACTTATCTGAGATGCAGTTTGCATAGTGCTCCAATTCTACCAGTCTACTGTGCGTTAGGTTGTCACTTACTCTTGAAATCAGTTTTTTATTTCTACAGTGCTAGGGTTTAAACTCTGCCACTGAGTTATAGGCTAACTTCTCCTTTTTTATTTTTTTAATTTCTTTTTTATTTTAATTCTGCTCCTCCTCCATGGGTGGGGAAGAATTTGGGACTTTACAGTGCAAGGCAAGCAGTCTTGTTACTGAGCTGTAGCCCCAGTTCAGTTCAATTCTTTTTTTTTTTTTTTTTTTTTTTTCTTTTTTTGTTTGTCGAGACAGGGTTTCTCTGTATTGTTTTGGAGCCTGTCCTGGAAACTCGATAGGTAGATCAGGTTGGTCTCGTCTTGAACTCATGGAGATCCGCCTGCCTCTGCCTCCCGAGTGCCGGGACTAAAGGCGTGCACCACCAGCGCCCGGCTCCCAGTTCAAATTTTATTATTTCAAAATGACAGTTTGAGTCAGAGGAGTCCGCTAGCACTGGCAGTTTTCCTTTATGTTGAAGAGGCAGGGAAGGCTGTCTGTCCTGCTTCTGCTTCACTGTGTATAGAAAATGTTTTGTTTCTGAGCTAGGAATCTAGGCAAGTGTCGCGTGCCCCAAGTCCTTCACCCCACACACACTAAGACTTTTAAATTGTGTACTTTCTTCAATTTCTACATTTGTGTTCTGTATTCTAATACCCACTTATGCTCCTGAGTTCTGTTGCCCTGCCCAGGTGCTTTTCTATGATGCAGAAATGACTGGGTCCTTTTCTCGTGGCAGATAGGTGTCTTGATATGGGTGCAACTGAACTGGATGTTGTGTCTTTCAAAGACCTTTCATGGGCTTCCCTCCTCACCTCTGGAGCACCCACTTGAAATGGTCATCCCTTGTGCGGAGTCACTGTTTCTTAGGTGAAAGCTGCAGTGGGATATGATGCCTTGGTTCTCTATGGGGAGCTGTGACCAGAGCACGTAGGAAGGCTTTCAGGCATCACTTGGTTTCTTACGTTTCCTTTACACCAACATAAAAGTGATGCATCCTGAGACTTAGTGCCCAGAGTGCGGAAGCCAAAGACAGAGGAGAGGAAATTCGAGAGACTGGCTTGGGGGGTAGCAAGTGTGTCACTGAGCCTGGCCAGATAGCTCACTGATGGTGAGGGTGCACATGTGGCTTGACCTCGTCCCTAGAAAATTTCTAGAAGAATAGAAGGATCTCACCATGTATTTCCTGACTGGAACCCTTGTCCATGCATCCCCAAAGCCCAGAAGACATGCCCTTCCAATGCCTGCTTTTGACAGTAGCTATAGAAAATGCTGGCTGAGTTGGACCAAGGTTATCCAGTTCTAAGTATATATAGAAAACTGAGAATGTGCCAGGCAGTGGTGATGCATGCCGTTAATTCCAGCATTTGGGAGGCAGAGGCAGGTGGATCTCTGTGAGATTGAGCCCATCCTGGTCTACAAGAACTAGTTCCAGGACAGCCAAGGCTACACAGAGAAACCTGTCTCTAAAAAGAAACACAAAAAGAAAAAAGAAAACTGAGAATGTTAGAAATTGTGTGTTTTCTCATAGAAACAGGAAGAAAACACTGTTCTAATGGGAGGAAGGGGGTGAGGGTCTTGACACAATCTTTTCTTAATTCAAAATACAAATCTCAGTTTCTTAATAACCACTGGAGAGAGTTTCATTGAAACTATTTTTGGGATGAAAACAATGGCTGCAGTCAACTGTGAGAACTGTTGATTTCTCTGTAGTTTAAATGTCTAATGTAGTCAATATAGAGTGTCACTTGTATGTAGTTTGAGTGTATATGTGTGTGGGTGCTGATAATTTTGTATTTTGTGGGGGAGTGGAAAGGTAAACAATTGAAACTGTTTTTATAAATTTTATTAAAGAGTTTTGTTAAACTGTTGTGACGCTTGTTTGATTTGCTTGCCAGAATTCCAAGTGAGCTGAAAAGACAAAGGTGGTGAGCTCAGAATCCCAGCACTGGGGAGGCAGAGTCAGATGGATCTGTGTGAATTTGAGGCCAGCCTGGTCTACAAAGAGAAACCCTGTCTCTAAAAACCAAAAAATAAAAACAAAAAGCAAACAAACATGGAGAGGGGAGCTTCCAGCTGGAATAACTTCTCCATGCTTTCAGTACTTCTACTTGGGGAGCAAACACATTCACAGAGTCACTGCTCAGAGCCCCCATCCACATGGCTTGTGGTGAGAACAGAAAGTTCCAAGGTCAGTGGGACAGAAGCAAACCTGTAGTTTCAGTGCTGTCAGTAACTATTTCTAAGTGGGGACATGATATGCACAAAGGCATGATATTAGAGACTGAACCTAGGACCTTGCACACGCTGGACAAGAGTTCAACCATTCAGATGCACCCCCATCTTTGTACTTTTTACTCTTTTATAATTTTTTTTATATAGTGCTTAGTTGTGTGTGTGTGTAGGAGTGAGTGATGCATGCACATGAGTGCTAGTACCCACAGAGGCTTGAGGGTTCTGGTCCTCTACAGGCAATTGTGCAATTGTGTGTGCTGGGAATCAAAGCTGAGTCATGGAAGAGCAGTACACACAATGAGAGAGCCATCCCCCTCCTTCATCTCTCTCTGTCTCTCTCTCTCTCTCTCTCTCTCTCTCTCTCTCTCTCTCTCTCTCTCTCTCTCTCTCTCTGTCTCTCTCTCTCTCTGTCTCTCTCTCTCTCTCTGTCTCCCCCCCCTTTTTTTTTTTTTACTCTTAAGTGTATGCTTTTTGTGGTGCTGGAAATTGAACCTATGATTACAAACTTGTGTCACTAGATCCAGCCTCCATTTAATGTTAATTTCTGAGATAACTGGGAAGTGCTACTGTCATCCAGTTAGGGCTGCTGGATGTCCCCCAGTGCATAGGACAATCTTCACAACAAGAACTGACCGGCCCAAATGTCAATATATTCCTGTTGAGAAACCTGGCCATAGGAAGAGTATAACTTTCTTTTTTATTTTAATAACTTCATACATGAGCAATTTTCCTTTCTGTGGGTGTATGCCATGTTTATGCAGAGATGTCCGTGAAGGCCAGAAGAGGGTCTCAGATCCTCTGGAGGTGTAGTTACAGGCATTCAAGGTACAACTGTTTTGTTTTTTTTTTTTTTTTTTTTTTGGTTTTTCGAGACAGGGTTTCTCTGTGGCTTTGGAGGCTGTCCTGAAACTAGCTCTTGTAGACCAGGCTGGCCTCGAACTCACAGAGATCCGCCTGCCTCTGCCTCCTGAGTGCTGGGATTAAAGGCGTGCGCCACCAACGCCCGGCTTCAAGGCACAACTGTATTGTAGTGTGTATCCGGGCCTTATTCCTTTATTGGAAGAGTAATATCCCATTAGACATATGTGCCACGTTTTTGCCCATCTCGGGTCGGGCCATTGAAATGACGTGTGTAGGGCATCTGATTCAGTTCTGGCTTTAGATTCTTTTAGGACTACACTGTGAAGTGGAATTGCCAGTTGTCTGCTCAGGATCCTGACTGTCCTCATGGGTGCAATAAAGGCAGTGTGGTTTTGTTTGTTTGCTTATTTGTTTTTGTTTTTTTCGAATCAGGGTTTCTCTGTATTGTCTTGGAGGCTGTCCTGGAACTCGCTCTGTAAACCAGGTTGGCCTCAAACTCACAGATATCTGCCTGCCTCTGCCTCCTGAGTGTTGGGATTAAAGGCATGTGCCACCAATGCCCGTAAGGCAGTGTGGTTTTGTAAGGGAAACTTTATTCCTGGGACACAAATGCTAAAAGGGTGCACGGCATCTGGGAGATAACAAGAAAATGGTTCAGAAATACATATTGAGAGGTGTCAAGAGAGCAAATGCAGCCAATAAAATGGCAGTGTGTCCTGCCCTTGGATTTTTATTTTTGTTCTTCAGACAGGGTTTCACTGTAGTCCAGACTGGCCTGAAACTGCCATGTACCCTGAGCCTAGTTCACACTGTCCTTGAAGTTGCAATTTTGTCTCAGCTTCCTGAGTACCAGATTACAACCCTGCAAATGCCTAGATTGACTTACTTTTTTTTTTTTCTTTTTAAGTCGGGAAGAAATAAGGAGCCCAGAAATAAGTCTTATGGAACTGGTGTCCTAGTGTCATTCTGTTACTGTGATTAAATACTGACCAAAAGCAACTTGGAGAGGAAAGGGTTTGTTTAACTTATACTTCCAGATCACAGTCTGTCACCCAGAGAAGTCAGGGTAGGGACTTGAAGCAGAATCCATGGAGCTAATTGTCAGCTAGCTTTTTTTGTGAGGTGGGTTGACAGGAAGGGTCTTAATTGTATAGCCCTGGATAGCCTGGCAGGTAAAATAATGAACCTGAACCTGAACCTTCACTTACACATTGATGCTTGTTCAGTGGATCTAAGACTACACAGAATGGCTAAAACTAGAACTCTTAAAAGAGCAGGAAAGATTCTTTGATCTTGGATTGATTCTCTGACACCAGAAGCATAAGCAACAAAAGAGGAAAAAGGTAAGGGCTGGAATATAGTTCAGTAACAGAAGGCTTGCCCAGCACGAGCGTGCAGGGAGACAGTTGCAGAAGATAAACACAAATATCCCAGCTATCACAGATGGCTTCCAAAGGTGGTTTCCACAAGCACCTTGTGTGCTGGCCTCTTTCCTGGAAATTCTGGGCTTGTGAAACAGCCACTGATACCCTGAAAGTTTTGTTAGTTCTGGATGGAGCAAAAAGGGGACAAGCAACTTCTGTGTACTTTGGTTTCTTGTGTAGCTGCTGCCCCTGGATGTGCACAGGGTTGGTCCTCTCCTGGATATTGTTTTAGTGAGGGCAGTCTGTAATGGATGCTTAACAGCATGTTACTGGGGGGCTCCCAGGTGTAGCTTTGTTTTGTCTATTTTCTTTTTTTAGATCACTTTGTTTTATGTGTATGGATGTTTGCTTTAATTTCTTTTATGTGTATCTGTGCACCACTCACATGCCTGGTGCCCGTGGAGGACAGAAGAGGGCATCAGATCCTCTGAAACTGGAGTTACAGGTGGTTGTGAGCAGCCATGTCGGTGCTGGGAATCAATCCTGAGGCCTCTACAAGAGCAATAATTGCTCCTAACCTTTGAGGCATTTCTTTAGCCCTGTTTATTTGTTTCTTGAGACAGAGTGTCTATTGGCCTCAAGTTTACTGAGTACACTAGACTGCCTGGCCAACCAGCCTCAGGGATCCAGTGTGTAGATCCAGTGTGCACCCAGGTTTTTAAAAATGTGGTTTTAGGCATCAGACTCAGATTCTCTTAATTGCAAGGCAAGTCCTTACTGACTTACCTTTCTCCTCCATCCCCCTTTTGAAATTAAAAATCATATGTATTTGTGGGTGTGATTTATTTAGTGTATGCAGGTGGGAAAGGTTGTGCATGTGAAAGTCAGAGAACATTGTTGGCATTAGGGGTCAGTTTTCTCAGTTCCAGGCATAAAACTCAAGACTCGGTGGCAACCGCCTTTACTCAGTAAGCCATTTTGCTACCCCGCTCCCCCTGTTTTTGAGACTGACCTTGAACTCTATGTAAGAACAGACTGACTGCGAATTACTGGGCAATCCTGCCTCAGCCTGCTTGCTGAGTGCACCATCCTGTCTGACCTCACTAAACATTTAACACCCTCAATCACTTTTAGTAACTTTTCCTTGGATGAGCTTGTGCCTATACTGAGGGGAAGTTGTCTGGAAGCAAGCCTGAAAGGAAATGTATACAATGGAAGAACATTATGGTAACTTTCAACGTCCCGTGTTTCCCTATCAAACACATTCCCCACTTAACGATGTCCGCAGGGTCTTGAGGAAGAGATGGTGAAAAGTCAGTTACCACACAGCATCTCCCCTGTGGCAGATATTGCCAGTGATGCCTAAAGTTCTCTCAGTGGCATCGTGAACGTTTTTTCACTTTAGAGGCTAGAAAAGGGGTGAGTTTGGGTTGGAATCAAGAGGAATGAGACAGACGGGGAGGGCCTAGCTAGCTCTTCTTTCCCCGTGCCTGTGACTATATGTGGAGTGTTTCTGCTCCCCAAGACTCCTAGCCATTAATTTGGAAGGGTTGGGAGTCAGCTATGCTCCCTCCCAATGCACTGCTCAAGGAACATTTTTCATAGGAGGTCTTAAGAGGGAAGTGACAATGATAGAGGACCATGTCCTGGGGCAGGAAGAGGACCAGGAGGAGAGAGGAAGAGTGACAAGGGGGAGCAATAGACTGGAGTGAGGGGATACAAGCAAGGGATAACTCTGTGTGTGTGTGTGTGTGTGTGTGTGTGTGTGTGTGTGTGTGTGTGTGTGGTGTAAATGTCATAATAAATTTTTCCTCATGCTAACTAAAAATAGTTGAAAAGAAAAGGTGTTGTGTAAAAGGAAGCTTTCCTTGCTAGCCGCTTTGGTATATCACCCGCCAGTCGCCTGGGCTTTGCCACATTGTAGTCCCCAAATAACCACACAAGACGCTGTATTAATTTTGAAGCTGTTGGCCTTGCTTGTCTCTTACTGGCTAGCTCTGCTTTAAGTAATTACCCCATAATTGTTAATCTAAGTATGTCTCTTACCGGAGAATAGTTCCGGGTTTCCTACCCCATGGCGGTTACATGTCGACTCTCTGTGTTTCTCCTTCCCAGAATCCTCCTGGACTCCTAGTCCCACCTACCTAGATTCCTATTGGCCAGCAGTAATTTATTGACATATACACAGGACTTCCCCAACAGTGTTGTCCTGAGTGAGCTCTCTGAATGTCCCATCAGAAATTATGGAGGTGAAGAACCTGTTGCTGATTATCTGAATCTCAGCCTTAAATTCTATTTTCTATATAAACATGATATAGAACAAAGAGGAACTCTACAAAGGACATTTCAAAACCTTACCACTGGGGGTGCCAGCTAGGGGCGCTGGCTTTAATCTCTGTCACTCAATAAA